AAACTCCTCAGAGTCAGGGACTATTAATTTATTTTTCTTTCTGTGTAGCATTTATAACTATAAAATACACTAAAGTTCCAAGTATTTATTGTTTTTGCAGATGGTGATTCATGGTGATGGCTTGCAGGGTCATAAACAAAAGAAGGCACATTGGACTTCAACAGCTTTCATCATTTGCAGAAACAGGAAGATCTTTCCTAGGCCCAGTAAAAGCATCCAAATTTATTATAGATGAAGAGTCTCATGAAAGTATATTAATCAGTTCAGTAATAAGGCTTCTTGAAAGTTTGGATTTAACTAGTGCAGTGGGACAACTTCTCAATGAAGCAGTTCAAGCACAGAATAACACATATAGAACTGGAACCAATACTCTTTTGTTTTTTGTTGGTGCATGGAGCAGTGCTGCTGAAGAATGTCTTCATCTTGGTGTCCCAATTTCGGTAATAGTGTCAGTAATGTCAGAAGGCTTGAACTCTTGCATTGAAGAAGTGGTTTCCCTTCAAGTACCTATCCATAATCTATTTGATGATATAGACAGCACAAATACATTTTCTGGACTTGAAGCATTTAATGTTACTTTGTGCCCTTTTCTACAGATCCCTTCAGATACTGGTTTGATACAGACAAATCTTGACCTCAAAGATGCCTCTCAATCAGTGGTGATTTACAGTCTCTCTGGGAGGCCTGTTAAATCATGTGTATTCTTCAGACCTCAGGCTAAGGTTGAAGCACGTGAAAGCATATCACAAACTTTGGTAAACAGCCAACTTGCAGACAACAGCTGCAGAAGGTCAATACTAATCCACAGTAGGCATTTTAATAGCACAGGTAATAGTCAGTCAATAAGCAAACCAGATGGATTTCTAGAACAGTGTAGTGCAGCTGCTTCCAAAACTCACAGCTGTAATGATTTGGTAGAGTTGACCGTGGGCTTGAGTCATGGAGATCACAGTAGCATGAAATTAGTAGAACAAGTAGTACGGCTACAATATCAAAATGCACGTATGCAGCAAGGTAACTGTACCATGCCTTTTATGTTTGACATTTCAAGAATCTTCGCTTGCTATTTGCCTGGTTTACCTGAAACTTTTACTTGTGTCTGTCCAGGATATATCACTCTTGTATCAATATCTTGTACTACTCTGATCAAGGAATTACAGAATCAGCCTGTCCGGGTCATTCTCATTCAAGGTGACCTTACAGAGAATTACCACCATGTGGGGTTTAATAAGTCTATAAATATTAAAACAGTATTTGAAAGCATGAAGGTTAATGAAGACAGCACAGAAGAACTGTGGGCAAATCGTGTATCACAGATACTAATCCAGTTCAATGTGCACCTTGTCCTAGTACAAGGAAATGTGTCTGAACACTTAATTGAAAAATGCATGTATAAAAAACAGTTGGTAATTGGGTCAGTGAATGGCAGTGTGATGCATGCTTTTGCAGAGGCTACAGGAGCAATGCAAGTGGCCTACATAACACAAGTGAATGAAGACTGTGTGGGCAGTGGGGTCTATGTGACCTTCTGGAGAACCATTCCCTTAGATGTTGTAGATAAGAAAAATAGAATGGCAATCTTGTTAAAAACGGGAGGCATTAATTTGGTTACAGCAGTACTCACTGGCCCAGTCACCGCACAGATGCAAACCAAAGAAGATAGGTTCTGGACTTGTGCCTATCGTCTCTATTACGCTCTGAAAGACCAAAAGGTCTTCCTTGGAGGTGGTGCAGTTGAATTTTTGTGTCTTAGCCACCTTCGAATAATTGAGGAGCAGTCTTTGAAAACAGAAGACCAAGCCTGTTCAGGATGGCTTCATAATAGTTCGTCTTGGCTGGCCTCATCTCTAGCCCTATACAGACCAACTGTGCTTAAATGCCTGGCAAATGGATGGCACAAATACCTTTCAACGCTCATACATAACACAGCCAATTACTCATCAGAATTTGAAGTCAGCACGTTCATTCAACATCATCTAAAAAATGCTATGGACTCTACCTCTCCTTCGTCTTACATCTTGAATGAATATAGTACACTGAATCGTGGAGTTTTTAATCCAGACATTTCAAATAAATTGGAGCAGATTCCAAGAGTTTATGACATTGTTACGCCAAAGATTGAAGCGTGGCGCAGAGCATTGGATTTGGTACTGTTAATACTTCAGACAGACAGTGAAATTGTTACTGGACATGGACACACACAGACGAATTCACAGGAATCAGAGGGCTTTTTATTTTTGTAGTGCTTGCAGACAACACAACCTTGCCGCAAGTGAAGATGACTTGAAACACTTACTGATGGAAATTAAAGACTACAGTACTAAAGTGTGCAGTATGGATTATACCTCAACATAAAGAAAACAAAAATCCTCACAACTGGACCAATAAGCAGCATCATGATAAATGGAGAAAAGATCGAAGTTGTCAGAGATTTTACATTGCTTGGGTCCACAATCAACACCCACGGAAGCAGCAAAGTGCTGAAGAGCAAAGATACCTCTTTGAGGACTAAGGTGTGCCTAACCCAAGCCATAGTATTTTCAATCGTCTCATATGGATATGAAAGCTGGATAGTGAATAAGGAAGACCAAACAAGAGTTGATGCTTTTGAGTTGTGGTGCTGGCGAAGAATACTGAAAGCCCCATGGACTGCCAGAAGAACTAACAAATCTATTCTGGAAGAAGTGCAGTCAGAATGCTCCTTGGAGGTGAGAATGACCAGACTTCATCTCGCCTATTTTGGTCATGTTGTCAAAAGGGACCGTTCCCTAAAGGAGGATATTCAGTCAACTGATTAAGTCCCAAGGGGGAACCAGTAAGTCTTTTTATTAGGCAGCCAAGATGTAGGCTAAGGCTCATTTATTTTCTATTATGACTCATATAAGGGAGCTTTGACTGACATGCCAATCTGTGATGTCATTGCCAATAATTTCAGGGGGCAGTAGGCCAAAAAGTAACCACCATCCCCAGTGGAGAGACATTCCATGCTCCATTTTCCCCACATACAACTAACATAACCTGAAGGGACCCAGGTGACTCTTGTTGAACCTGATTTGAATCACTATTATATACGTTTGACTAAGTCACATGGGTAACATCACAGTAGTTGTAGCCTCAATTGCCACATCTGACATAATCTAAGATCATTCAAACCCTAAGAGAAGTAGATGTCAAATTGAGACAATGTTGTGTTTGTACATATTCTCATCTGGGAGCTGCCATTAATAGCATCATTTACTGTCTCCATTACTCAAACACTCTTAATAAGGTATAACCCACCCACTGCCATTGAGTTGATTCAACTCATAGTGACCCCTATTGAGTTTCCGAGGCAGTATCACTACTGAAGTAGGATTGCCCAACCTTCCTTCCGAGGAGTGGCTGGTGGGTTTGAACCGCCAGCCTTCTGATTAGCAGTCAGATGCCTTAGGCACTATGCTACCAGAGCTCCCTATGGAGGTAGATTGTGTCATATTCCTCCCATGGAGCAGCTGGTAGGTTTGAACCACTGGCCTTCTGGTTAGCAGCCAAATGCCTTACCAGAGCTCCTTTATTAAGCTACAGTGTCTCCTTTTTGGTGGGAAACCATATAGACAGTAGTTGGTTGTTTGACTGCCAGTAGGATGAGTGCTGTGAATCTGTCCAAAACCATCTTAAGAAACTTTACTTGGCAAGGAAGGTGCTGAATTTTGAGGGGATTTATCAGCCTCTCCTATTTGTGGAGGTGTTAATAGCAAGTAATACCATAGTCAAGGCTATTGAGACTCAGACTTATGACTTGTCAACCACCAGTTCATCATCTATATACTGAAAACATTGGGCATCACAGAGTAGAGCACTCAACACTACATCCTGAGCCATCCACTGATAACACGTCTTATTTCTCAACATGTAATAATGTCCTAAATGGGATAATCTCTGTCATGTGATGAGCATTTGTAGAACAAACATGACATGTCAATACCAATTACGTATTTTCATATCAATAGTCATTGACTTGGTCCAGAGCGAGCCACCCACAGAGTCATCTTTTTCTTTACTGCAAGTTTTGCAAACTAAACCCTATCTTCTCATATCTCTTAATTCAGCCCATGGGAACCTGTATCTTTTTCAGAAAAGGTTGACTGTGTCAGCATCTTATCCTTGTCACCAGAACTCAAGAACTGTGCAGAGTCTGAGATTTTGCCCTACTTACAAGCCAACATGTTAGCTTGTTAGAGTTTCCTGGGAAGCTAGCATAAGACGTGAAACTCCTGGGTTGGAGACAAAGGACAA